TGAACTCCCCAACTAGTTTGTTCCATTTAGAAGCAAGTTGCTGCTGCTCCGCTGCTAAAGCCCTACTGGAGGCACTGAGGATAGAGAGCTGCTTGATGTCTTGGATTACTCGTTGTAAGGACATGGGAGGGCTCTGACAATACGTCTGCAAGAGAGCGTAGGGAATTGCCCATTTGTCTAAGTACTCCAACGAGAACACGAGCAGTAGCAGAGCGACAACATCAACCATCATTACGGTCGGCACATGCCTCCAATACTCATCACTGTTATGAACAGGAATAATGACGAAGTCGTCAGCGGTCATTCAATGACCAGTGCGTCTCCCACGCTTCCGTTTGTTGGACTGCTGTAGAGCATGGCCTTCAGGGTGTGCTACGCGTGACCTTTTTACACCAGCCCTGGTGCTGACTGGGACTTCCTGAGGGATATCGATGGTATCATAAGTTTGGATGTCCCCATCTGCGGCAAGGCCAGTGGTGACCACGTATGATTCGAAAGCTAGTATTCTCTTCTCGAGCTGCTTACGCAAGGCGGATATCTACAGAATCTGCTACTGGAACAGTCCACGAGTGAATTACATGACTACCTCCCTAATTTCCTCGTCGATTTTATCCTCCTCCCCCATGAAAACTCGTCGCTTGTTGCGCTCATTAGTCTGCTCTTTATACAGGAACTCCATCAATGGAGTGTACATGCTCTGACTGGCGACTCGGCGCGCAGGTCTTTCTTGGACAGTAGGCTTCGGTTTAACGATAGAGAATAGTCGGGTCCTCTTGACAGGGTAGGAAACTAGTGGCGAGTCGGACAGTAGGCCTCGGATGAGATGAGGGCCTTCACTGATGTCGCTGCTGTCGGTTCCCCCTGACGCATCTTCTATGGATGGTCGCTTTCCTGTACGCGGCTCTACACGGGTCTGATCAGAAAGAGCCGACAAAAATTGAAGGTGTTTCAAGCTTTGCCGAATACTCCTTTTAAAATCGCCGGTCAACCGCCGGTGCTAAAATATACGTTTGCCAAGCTGAGCTGAGAAATTTCCTCATTACATCACAGAAATTGAGAGAGTAAGAGTGCATAATAAGCTATGAGGATTCCCATGATTTTCCCCTCGAATGTCATCTACGTAATCAACACGTAAAGCTCTCGACGTGCATATTCTCCCACGATGTCCACTGACCCTACCTTCTTCTTGTTGCCTTTGCCCGACGGCGTATAACTCTCGTCTCCGCTTCTCAAGGGTCTCTCGCTGCTATCACTGTCATCCGTAATGTACGTTGTCGAACGCTTCCTCGCCGTGGAACTGACCTTACGGTCAGAAACTGGCGTATTGGCCTTGCTCGAGGGCTTCGGTGTGATGGGATCGTTTTGATCATCCGCGGGCGAATCAAATGCTATATGGTAGTCCGTCTTAAATTTCAATGGGCGGTAGTCGGGATCTCGTTGCCGAGCAGCTGCATCGGCTCGCTTCTCCCTCAAAGAGGCTGCCAACTTTTTCCTCCTCAGCGCCTGTGCTTTTTGACGCTTAGTCGTTTTAGGAGTCTTAGGGGGTACAGGGGGTACAGCAAAGAACAATTCGGCTGATGTTGGCAGCACTATCTCTGGTAACTCTGTCGCAGGTGGAGTTGCTGCTCCTACTATCCCCTCAGGCTCATCAGAGAATGTGAGGTCGTCCAAAATGGGCAGCATAAAGTTAAAGGAGGACATGTTGAGGGTACTGTGAACCAAAAAGTGAAGAATACTCTGACCTCCTACAAGCTGGTACAAAAAAGGATCTACCCATTGTAATTTCGCGGTGCCTGACCGTCGATGAATAAAGTAGGCATTATTCGAAAGCTCTCATTGAGCACTCTCCAACGCTGTATGAACGGTTTTCATACTCGAATTGCGCGCAATGTCACGCGCCACGAAATTACACGAGGTGGGTCTTCTTTGCACCACCTGCTACGAAAGGATCTTTTGAAGGTATATTCCGCTAGTAGGATGGATTTCTCGGCAAGGGGCCGCTATGCCACCTGTAGATATACCAAAACACAATAACTATTCTGTTGGGGCAACTATGCCACCCCAAAGTATGCTCAAGTACGACCATTTTCTTCGGGTGGGGTAACTATGCCACCACAAGGTTTTCTTAAGTACGACCAATTTCATTTTCTCGAGTGAGGCAGCTATGCCATCACAAAGTATGCTTAAGTACGATCAATTTCATTTTATCGAGTGGGGCCACTATGCCACCCCACGGTATGCTTAAGTACGACCAATTTCATTTTCTCAGGTGGGGCAACTATGCCACCCCAAGATATGCCCAATTACGATGATCGTACTACAGAGTGGTGCAAAAAAAGGGCCCACCTCACGATCAAATTGATTGATCAGTTTTGCTGGAATAGCAACGTCATTGAATCGCCGAATTGCATGCAAAGCATGTAAATCGGTCGACGATCGATGGCGATGCGCTGAGGTGTCCTGTGACAATCCAACCGCGCCGGATCGATCCCTAGTCACGGCATTTCTCCGCTTTCATTACGCTTAGAACCATAGCTGAAGATATTCGGCACAGGATCGCCTAGCCGATCGAGGTTCAAGGCCTGAGATATTGAACGCTGAAAGTTTATGGAATTAGGATACCGGATGGGATGTGCTATTTATTCTCTAGATTTCTTCTTCCGTGATACTCCATGTCCTCTTCTCCCACCGACACGACTAAAGCCATTGCGGAACTTCCTATGGCCCCCCTCGCTATCGCTGGTTCGGTGGCTGCTGCACTCAGTGCTGGAGTTCTCATCTATAGACATCGTCACCAAGAGCTTCCTCTTCCGCGCTCCCTACGTCGTATAGCGCCAGCCCTACTGACCAGAGCAGGTGGACAGGCCGAGTCGGCTCACTTCAAGATGCCAGTGTTTGATGGCCCCGTCTTGTATGAGAAGGGCGCCAATGGTCAGAAGATGGATAAACGCTTATACTGTCAACTTTATGTTCTGGACTGCATCAACGCCGCTAAGTTGCCGGAGGCTCGAGAGAAGCTTCAGCTCGAGTTGGTCAGAAGGAACATCCCAAGTGTTATTTACGACGATGTGAACAGTCCGAAGACCATCGGCCTCCTAACTTGGAGTGAGGATCCGAAGCATTTCCCGACTGTGGTTAACCCCGTCCTCCAGTTGGAGGGTATTGGTGATGTATTGGAACCTAGACAGGGGTGGACCATGCTTGGCAAGACCTACTCAAGTGGCCACGAGGCTGACTTGGAGGATATCCTTCTGAGGAAGGTCATCCGTACCGTCAGCATGAAAGGTGCGGAGTACGCCGTATGGTACCCTATGAGGAGAGAAGGCAAGTTTTATAAGGAGAAGCCCGAAGACCAGTGCCGTAGATTACTAGAGCATGCGGCCATTGGAAGGGCCTATGGAAAGGTGAACAGGCCTCTTCCTCCCCTACTCAATGTGATTTGACTGTTCTTATCCTTCAGGCTGGAGTCTGGGATGTCCGTCTTAATTGCTATGGTTTTGACGCCGATGATAACGAGTTCATTATTGGGCTCATGAATAAGGATCTTCATCCTCTTAGCAAGGTAGGTTTCTAATAAGGTGTACGATCATTGACTAGAAATTACTTCTTTGCTTGTCAGATCGTTGAGGATATGCGCAAGACCGCTCACTCTTCCTTCTTTATGAAGTCTTTCGGACCCTTCTTTGTGGGTCAACGTGTGTTTGTTCATATTCCTTTCAACTAGGATCAACTATCGGATCCTAAGGTTTCAGTTCATGGCCTCGTATAGGGCCCTGTAGCTGGAGCCACAGCATCAGCTATACTGTCAATTTCCCATTGTGGGACTTGATCATGATGGATTGAGATGGAGGTTTTCCCCGCATTTACATATGTTCCTCGCTAAGGTTCTCGATCCATTATGATCATCTGCATACAATCGCATCAATCGTTACTACAATCCCTCGTATCATGAGGTTAGTCTTACTCCTTCTTTTTAATGTTGTGTTGTCATATATGGGGAGAATGCTGGTGTACTACTTTAAATGAGTACTTAGAAGTGCTTAGCGAAGGTGTCCTGAGGCTTGGGGTTGCCCATAGTGGTATCTCTGAATAAGGGGTGAGCAATAGGTAATTTCTACTGGTTATGTGTACACGTTATTAGGGAATTTTGAAGGGTGAGTGATGAGTACCGGGTGCTCTTATATGTACTCTTAAGATTGGACTCAATTGAAGTAGAGGATGCGGATCACCTTCGCAGGTGGTGAAGGTTATAGCTCTTAGCTGAGTGATACTAGACGTTGGACCCTTTTGGAATTGTGCAACTCTGTCTCTTTTTCGCGGCTCCAGGATCTGTAGCTCGCTATAATCTTCCAATCACTGCCACAGGGCTAATTGCCTCCGCTTCACGTTATTGAATTTGAGTGGTGGGTTGGCAATACCGATGAGATACCGATCTGTTTCTATGTGGAATTCACGCTGCGGGCAGTTTGCGCTTTCCCCGTCATGTCATTGTGAGGTTCTGTTTCAGCGGGTTCCCTTGCAGGGGTCGGGTGTATTGGACTCTGGACCCTCGTCAACCATAGACATGATCGAGTGAGATTCAATCTGGTATTCGCCTCAGACATATATCTCGTTAATACTTCATGTCCTCTTCTCCCACCGACACGACTAAAGCCATTTCGGATCTCCCTATGGCCCCCCTCGCTATCGCTGGTTCGGTGGCCGCTGCACTCAGTGCTGGAGTTCTCATCTATAGACATCGTCACCAAGAGCTTCCTCTTCCGCGCTCCCTACGTCGTATAGCGCCAGCCCTACTCACCAGAGCAGGTGGACAGGCCGAGTCGGCTCACTTCAAGATGCCAGTGTTTGATGGCCCCGTCTTGTATGAGAAGGGCGCCAATGGTCAGAAGATGGATAAACGATTATACTGTCAACTCTACGTCCTGGACTGCATCAACGCCGCTAAGTTGCCGGAGGCTCGAGAGAAGCTTCAGCTCGAGTTGGTCAGAAGGAACATCCCAAGTGTTATTTACGACGATGTGAACAGTCCGAAGACCATCGGCCTCCTAACTTGGAGTGAGGACCCGAAACATTTCCCTACTGTGGTTAACCCCGTCCTCCAGTTGGAGGGTATTGGTGATGTATTGGAACCTAGACAGGGCTGGACCATGCTTGGCAAGACCTATTCAAGTGGCCACGAGGCTGACCTTGGAGACTATCTCCTCCAGAAAGTCATTCGTAATGTGACTATGAAGGATACCGAGTATGCCATCTGGTACCCTATGAGGAGGGAAGGAAAGTTCTCTATGGAAAAACCTGGGGACCAGTGTCAGATGCTCCTCCAGCATGCTGCTATCGGAAAAGCTTACTCCAAGGTGAGTTACTGGCGCCTAGTGTTTCTCTCAGATTAACACGTCGTTCCTATTTCAGGTTGGTGCTTGGGATGTCCGTCTTAACTGCTACGGTCTTGATGCTGCTGACAACGAGTTCGTCATTGGCCTAGTCCACAAGGAGCTCAATCCCCTTTCTAAGGTGAGAGCTTCAACTCCCCGTTGGTGACAAGCTGTATGTGTTTCCCTCTTTTCAGTTGGTCGAGGACATGCGTAAAACAGAGCACACCGCTCTCTTCATGAAGTCCCTCGGACCTTTCTTCGTTGGTCATCGTGTTTTCGTACACGCGCCGTCTAACTAAGTGTAACC